AGTAAAACATACTAAAAATAGAAATACAGTATATATATAAAGTAAACTTCATAAAAATTGGAACACCTCGAATTTTGAATAGGCCAACGTATTAAAAATGTTTTTCACTAAGAAAAAAGATATTTTTTTAATTTTTTTCTGCATAAATGTTAGATGAAGCTTAAATTTATATATAATTTTCTTTCAAATACGATTTAGGTAAGATTTTATATCATTTTTTTTTGTTTATATTATGTACTGTTTTATTGATTTTTTTTTATTATTTAGCTGCACTTCATAATAATTGGAACACCAACAAAAATGTTCCCATTATTCCTACTTTTGTATCTGACTACCCTCTTTTTCGATGCATTGCCTGATTCTATGCCCCATTCCATCATATAGGAATATCATAATTCATTTAATAAAGATAATGAGTTATTTGAGGTATTCTGAATTTCAAATACAAAAAATTGATTTGAATAAGACATGTTATACAGTACTGAAACAAATGTTCCACTGTACATTGCCATATGCTTAGGCCTATATTCAATATTTAAAACAAAATCTTTGGCCTAATATGAATAATAGAAGATATATTCAAAAATGTAGTAATAGAAGGATATTGATGAGTTATGCTATTCAGTTTTAATAATATATTTTGATGTTATTTCAAAATCAATTAAATCATTAATCCAAGTGAATTTTTATTCACTTAAACTTGCAAACATTTCAGAAAAAGCATGAGAAAGAAAACATTTCAAATCTACTTGGTATACTTTATTCTAATTGGGGTTGAAGGTAAATTTCTTGAATGTCATCATTCCTTTGTATCCTATTATCTTCTATAACAGTCAATATTTTGTTACAGTCTGCCAATATAATAGAACATTGAATTCAGTTGTTTTTGGAAACCTTTTAGCAGTAAATGAGTTGCATAGTAATCCAGAAGTGAATGATGTTGACACTTGTAAAAGGATTTGTGATCGCTAGAAATCATGCGAGTAAGCTATTTCTCTTTTTCAACACGAGACGCCATTTTAATTTAATCTATAAAAACAGGGGGTTTAACTTTAAAAAAGCTACAAATGCATGTAGTTTGACTGATGGAGAAGCCAATCAATTACTTACTGTTGATAATCAATATGACTATTACAAAAAAACCGGAAGTTGCAGCTGCCAATATAATATATACAATTCAAAATATATTAGAAAAAATGGTATATTTTGGAACAATACTGATGGTTACGAAATAGAAACAGAAAATGAACATGAATGTATGCGATTTTGCAATAAACATTCAATATGCAAGTGAGATAATTACATTCAAAATTAAATAGGTCAATAAATGAATTGATAAAAAAAATAACATTTTAAAAATCTCTTTTGCAGGAGTTTTGATTATACAACCTTGCATAAAAAATGTTGGTTTAATTCAATTAACTACGCCGATGCCATTGATGATGGTTCATTTCAAGATCATCAAGACACTCATCTGTTTGATAAAAATACAACTTGTAGTAAGAATGTTTTTTTTTACATATATATTTAGCATTAAAAACTCACTAGTCCTACAAAATCAGAAAAATTAACAAATACTTACTGTAGCAATAGATTATATATCATAAATTTTGATATAAAAAGTTTACTTTTCGTAATAAACTAGGCTATTTTCAGGGTTGAAAAGAATTCCCTAATTAAGAATACCGAAATGGTAGACATATTCTTTCTGGATGGGGGTGTGAACGTGGCCTTAGAGGGTTGAAGCCTATCTTAATGTACCTGAAGTTGAGTGTAATATATGTATTATTTATAAACGACAGGTATGTTGATACACCTCGAATTTTGATAGGCGAAATATTAATAATCCTTTTCATTATGAAGAAATCTTATTATTTTTATTTTCTCAGTCTTAAATTATAGATTAAACTTGGAATTTTATATAAGTTTCTTTAAGAAAGCGTTTAGGTAGGTTTTTACATATTTTTTTGTTATAAAAATTACTATTGTTTTATGATTTTTTTTCTTATTTGGCCAAACAACATGATTATTGGCACATAATCTTTTGAGTTAAAATTTTCTTTATCTTTATATGTGCAGGCCCTCCCTTTCGATACATTTACAAATCCTTTTTTTCTGTATAAATTTAGATAAAAAAAATACTCTACAGCAAACAAACATTTTTAACCGTTAATTATAAATTGGCCTATCAGAATTTGGGGTGTGCCTATATACATGTCGTTTACTTTATTCCCTAACCCTAAATTGGAGCCCCTCTAACAATAAATCCAATCAAATTTTCAAACTTACCCTTTCCTAAAATATTTTCAGGGTTGGAAATATTTGCTTACGGGTACGTTCGCACCCGACCCCATTCTGTCTATTTCAGAATATAAAGTAGTAATCAAACTCACTCTTCATAAATTTTTAACAGAGTTAGAAAGTTTTTTTTCAAAAAGCGCCGTCTAGTTGTGAGTTTACATACATATACTATTTTAGGCCTATTTATTCTGTAAATTAGAAACTGATAAACGACATAAAATTATGAACAATTATCAATAAGCTTTATTACTTGTTCATTATATCACAATTGGTAATTTTAGCGTAGGCGTCTGTCTACTTTTGGCAACGAGATAAAAAAGAGACACGTAGCGTTATAATTACAAGTAATTTTTAAAATTATTATAAACAATTCTTCAGAAACCCGTATTTAAAAAATTGCCGATATCGGCAAAAAAAATAACATATAAGAGGTCATAAAGACTACATTAATTGCTTAATTCATTGATTGATTACTAGCACTGGAGTGTCTTTGTCCCATTAAATTTTTATATATAGTTGAAAGTAAAGGGACAAAAAATACAAAAATGTTCAAAAGTGTTCAAGGAAGCTTTCTGCTCATACTGGTCAGTGACAATTGGGGTTTCTTTTTATTCATTTTTACATATGAAATATAAATTTCTTTCAAAAGGTGCATTTATATAAATATTGTGCGGAAAGTGATGAATGTATAGACAACATTTTAAAGGATAATATGAAATTGTTACATAATGATCTAACTCAAAGAATTGATAATTTAATTAGTTTGTATTAAAATCTCTATTATTTTTACTATTAATTTATTAATGAACTTTCTTTTTCAGGTTTAGTCGACAATCAGAGATTTTCAAGACACACTTTAAAACAGATTGAATGCGATGGACAGATTACATTAAATCAAAACTTGAACAGTGACAATACAACGGATTATCTAATCTCTTCGAAGGATTATCCAAAAAATTATCCACATAATCATAATTGTATGATAATTATAAATGTTGAAGAAGCGTTTAACGGGGTTTGTAATATGTTTTATTGAAGAAAATAGATGATATTATTGCCCAAAAGGCTATAAAATAATAAGTTAAACGGGATTAAATGGGATCAGAATACACCTACATGATAATTGTTTATACTTTGCCAATTAACTATAATTAATTTCTATTTATAGCACATAGAATTGACATTTGATGAATTCCATCTTGAATTTTCAAAAAATTGCCGTTACGATTATCTAGCAATTTCGGATGACAAACAAAAAGTAATTTTATGCGGAAAAGGGCTAATTAAAAGTTAAAAATATCTCTTTTATTTTTGTCAAACATTCACTTCGTTTTCATTTGATATTTCCAGATTCAACTGGAAATTCTGCAGACGAGGTTAGTTTCTTTAAAAATGGAACAATGCAGCCAATCATAAATAAAACATTTAAATTTAAACCAAATGGAGCGTTAGTCATTCGTTTTAAAACTGGCAATAAATTTACATATTCTGGATTTGTTTTAAAAGCTAATTTTAGAAATGACAAGTTCAATTGTTATGGAAACGAAGCAGTTTCCGATAAAATTGATAAAATAGCCACAACTGAGATGATAACAACCAAAGATAGTACTGTAGAAGAATTTTTAACTACCAACAACTCTGATAGAAAAACAACAAATAGTAATACTACTCCTCCTCCTGTGGAAATAGACACAACTACTCCTATGCCCCAATTAACAACAAAAACAACAAAACTAGCAACACTGCTTGTAAATAATAAAGCAGTTTTTTGTGGCAGTAGAACAATTCCGAAATTTAATTTTGATTGTCATGGAAAAAGTTATAATATCATTTCAAATAATCCATATTTACCCAATTCAAATTGTCTTATTCATTTAATGCCTCCAAGAGGAAAGAAAGGGGTAAAAATTTAAATTATTTAATAAATGACAACAACAACGTTCCATTTTGCAGACGATTTATTTCAAATTTAAATATATTAATATTGAAAATCACGCAAAATGCAAATATGATTATCTTCAGATTATCGATAATTGTGGAAGTTCTTTTAAATTCTGCGGAAAGCAAAGTAAAATATCAAGTTGATTTTCAAATCGTATTTCTCATTCTTCTCTCTCTTTTTCTTTTTTTGTAGTTTTGGGTGATAAAGCAAAAACTTTCCTAGGAAAACAACGCTATCGTAATAAAGTGGATATAAATAAAACGTATTATACTAGTATGGAAAATTCATTTAAAATAAATTTCAAAAGCGATACAAATAAACAATTCACTGGGTTTCAATTAACAACTACATTCTCTTGTCTACAAACAATTCCAAAAATTCCAACAATTCCAACAATTCCACCAATCAGGCAAGTTTTATGCAAATGGAATAAAGTTAACATTAAAATGGATTGTAATATGGGAGATTTAAGAATAATAGCTCCAAGCAGCAGAACTAAAAAATGGTGTTCAATTAATCTGTCTATAAGCAGAAGTAATTTAGTACGGTGTCTATATTGCTCTATTCAAAACATTTAACTTAATTATCTATTTATCATTTTAGGAAGTGGAATTTAAATTTCTCTCATTCAATCTACAGAGAAATACAGGAAACGATTACGATGCTCTAACATTTGCTCAAGGTTTTCGTCATATTCAATATTCTGGAAAAGCAAATACAGTGGGGTAAGTATAATCACTTACTAGCTTAATCTCAAGGTCATGGTCAAAATACTAATATACTTTATTAATACCTTTTCTACTTTTTTGTTTATGCTAGCGCGGGAACGGATCGAATCAGCATCTTTAGAGGACGGAAATTAAAACCTCCCAAACTCCGAACAACTTATTACATTCGCGAAAGTGGAGATTTCAACATCAATTATTTTGAAGCTACCGATACGGGAGGAAGATCATTTGAAATGCTTGTACATACAAAATGTACATCTTAGAATTTTAAATATTATCCATTCGCTGCGCAGCTATTATTCAACCTAATCTGCTTTTACTGTTCACAAATTTCATAAGCAATAAAGTAATAAGCATAGAGAGAAGTTAAAATTTTTTGAACAATTTTATAATCACCCTAAGCAATATTGATTTAAAGGAATATAGGTCTTTGAACAAATCATTTACATTATTGAGGTTGCCGTATCATTTATTTCATTTCATTAAAACTGTAAACAAAAATAGAAAGATGAATTGTAAAAATTTGACAGAACGTTTAAGATGTACACTCATCAATTATAAAAGTTTGTTGAACAATAGTAGTTACATAATGTTGTTGGGTGTTTTTTTTCTTAATACAAAAAATTGAACAATCAAATATTGAATATATAAATTGACAAACTTTTTGCCTAAAACTTGATATATAAAAGTATAGGTAAAAATATTGAGGAAATTATTTGAAAAAGCAATCCAAAAAAAGAGAAATCTTAGAAAAAGATGAAAGAGTTGTTTATTTAAAAATTCTTCTAAAATATAAATTAATGTATAAGGTAACCATAAAATATAAAATTAAAAGTTATAATAAATAGAATAGTAAATGAGGGGCCTGGTATTAAAAATGTTGTTAGAAGTGTCCAGTTTAAATTGACTAAATAGTAACAGTACAATTCAAATTTTAAAAATTTATAAATTATAAAGTTTAATACTAATAAAACTGGTAAAAGAAAATATGAATTTATAATGAACCATAGAAATACAATTAATATTTTCTGTTTTCTTTATATTTTATTGGATAATTGATTGCAAAAAATCTATCTATTAATATAAATGTTATTGTCCATGCTGATATTGAAGCATTTGAAGAGTAGAATAAACCAGAAAATTGATAAAAATTATTATTAACATTGGAATTTTCAGTCCAAGAAGGTATAAATGATGTTGGCATTATCACAAAACCAGAACTTACACTTAATAATAAATTAATTATTAAAATTTTTGAATTTTATGAATATCCTTAGTCATTAAAAAGATAATTTTCAATTATAATTAATTAATTTGTTGATAAAATATTATATGAAAAAAAGAAAGAAAAATGACAAACACCTTTGGGGATAAACATTGCTATGGATACTTTTGTTATATTTACTTGTTCTTACTTATTTAGTTAGAGAGCATACTTGTACAATTAAAAACACTATTATAATACATAGGGCGATAATACACTTATATGAAACATTAAAAAAATTTTTTATAATAGGCATCTTCCTTGATCCTTTTCTGTGAAAGTACAATTGATTAATGGATGTGTATTAATATTTTTTAAGAGTTGAAAGCGTTTTCCAACTCGATGAAGTTCTTTCAATCTTTCATGATAATAAAAGGACACTTTATTCCGACTCATTGATATTGCCGAACCAGAAAAGGTACTGTAAAGTGGTGATTTAATGATCAAAGAACATTCAGATAGAACTTTCCAATCTAATATAACTCTCCGAAGACCATTGCAAGCATCTGAAGCTTCCGGTGTTTTTCCACCTTTAGACCATCTTTGTATATTAGTTAACGAGCTGTTTGCCTTGATAAACCTGTTCTTAAAGATATTTGACGCCTGCTGAGTAACATTTTCTGAATCAGCTGCAACGTATAATAAATGATGTTTGTATTGATCCCTATTGAAAAGATTCTTAAGAGATTTCCATATTTCATTGATTTCCTTTCTTGCTTGTACATGAACAGCTTTTACTTTTTCTCCAGTTTTAGCGTGTCTTATGTGAGCACACAGTAACTTTTTACCACCAATTAGTTTTGCTCTTTCGCTCCTTAGTTCCATATTCAAATTGAATAGCATATCAAAAATATTGTACTTGAAGAGAGGAAAAGCAAAGAAAGAGAATGAAATATTGGTAATTTTAAATGTTATTCGCTGAATATCTTACTTACCTTGTGGGGTATTGAATAGAGAGTAAACTCTTTCAATTCGTCTTGTGTATAACCCAAATTAAGAAAGAGTTGACGAAACGCTTTTTGATTAGACAAAAAATGGAGTATTCGACTCGAATGGTGTTTATAAGAAATAACTTTAACATCGTCACTCATTAACGATGTGTAAAAATCTTTTAACTCGTCATACGTCATTTCCGGTATATGCTTGGAAACAAGCTTATCAACAGGATGATATTTCTGATTCCATATTAATCGATTAGGTGTTAAAAAGTTATCAACATGACAAGGTAGTTTCATATGAATAAAAAACGCCCTATTTGATAGTATTGCTAGATAATAAGCTGCAAAAATTCCATACAATCTATTTCCCCAGCCTGTGCACCATCCTGTACACTGATATCCTATATATCTATAATTTGCCTCTCTTTCATCAGGAGGTATATACTTTCTCTCCTCTGCGAAAGTTTTAAAAGACACAACTTGTTCTTTTACTACTTTATCATTTGATTTCAATTGATATCTTCCTAAAAAATATGCAAAGACTATGATACAAGAAAAGATAGCATATATAATTTTTTTCATCTTCTTTATTCAACTGAAAAAAAGAAGAATGAAACAAATATTAATTATTGTTCTTTAGAATATAATTCATCATAACGACATTTTTAATGAATTATCACTTGGGAGGATTATATCTAAAAGGTTAAGTTATGGTACAAGTGTTGGGTTAGGGTTAGGTTTATCTGTCTCATCCACATGATAAATAGTATTGTTTTATACTGTATAACTAAAATGTCAATTTGCATATAAGCTTTCCAATAAATATCATCTGGTGCAGTGACATTTCGGCCCAGGACATTTCGGCCCACTTTGGGACATTTCCGCCCAAAATATTTCACCCCATGTTAGAAAAATAACATTTTAGATTTTGAAAAGGCTATATGGATGGCACTTAAAGACCAGTTTCCTAATTCTGACCTTCAAGGATGCTCTTTTCATTTCAAGCAAGCAATTTTGAGAAACATTCAGGTAGATTAAACAATACTGCAAACAATTAAATATTCATAGGAAATTTTTTGTTAGAAACTTGGATACATTAATGATTATAAAGAAAATGAATATAAAGGGAAAATGTTACAAAAATTGATGTGTTTGGCCTATCTTCCAGCAAAATTTATTGAACAAAAGTTTTTTCAAATAAAAGAAGAACTTTGTGAAAAGAAATTGTTTTCAGATTTGCTTGATTATATTGAAGAAACATTTATTAAAATTATTGTGAGAACAAACAATCATGTTGAGGCATGGCATTCCAGGCTTAACAAAAACTTGAACATGGATGAGAACTTGTATTCCCTCATAAAAGAATTAAGAAGAGAAGCTGAGTTAGTAGAGATCTTTGAAAAGTTATTGTCCGAGAAAAAGTTAAGAAAGATACAAAAGAAGAAGTATCAAGATTTACAATTCAAAATATTTCAGTTGTGGAGTAAATTTGAAGAAAGAGAACTGAGTTTGGATGAATTATTGGATGGACTTGTACATTTAAATATTTTTTAAAAGTTAACATTTCTTACTCTGCATTTTTGTTATTGTATGTTATATCATTCTTTTACTGTTTTGAAATTGTTTCCTTTCTTATTGAAAAAATAAACATAATCCATCATAAAATGGAAAGTTATATTCTTGAATATTAATGCTCTAAAATGGGCCGAAATGTCCTAAAGTGGGCCAAAATGTCCTGGGCCGAAATGTCCTAAAGTGGGCCGAAATGTCCAAAGTGGGCCGAAATGTCCTGGCCCCATATCATCTACTTACATAACTGGAATCAGACTTGTGGCAAGAAAAAATGTCGGCAAAAAAATAGTACAACAAACCAAATAGCTGTTTGATTCTTTATATTCAGTTTTGAATAAAGCCTGTAGGCCTTTGTACAGGTAAATAGGGGTCAATAGAGAAATTTCAATACTAGATTTTGGCCTGAGAAATGTTTAGGAAGAAGAAGAGAGCAACTTATTTGTACTTAGGAGGGTCTCCTCTAAGGGTTAGAGGTAATGCAAAAGGTCAGGTACTGCCAAGGGCTGGGTTAGGGTGAGGGTAAAAGCACTCATTTTTGGACGTTTTCTGTCGTATCCCATACTATTTACTACTTATTTATTTTTATCAATATACTTAACATACATTCAAAAAAAACATTTATACTTCAAAATCTATCGTTGCGGCAATTTCAATATTCCAATAGCTGATTCCCATGACAAGAATTACAATGGACTTTGACCTTTAAATTTATGAAATTTTGGTTGTAAAAAAAAAATTTAAAGTTATAGACTCTTGTAGAATGATAGATTATTTTTAGTAAAGTGCCAGACTAATTGTAGCCCACCTCTTAGAAAAAACAATTTCTACGCATTAACGTACAGGCAATAAGCAATAATCTGTCAATATTATATATATCATCAGGACACTCAACACTATTTTTGGCCATTCATACAAAATACCATTCAATTGGAATCTATGCTTTTATAAAGCGATATTCTTAAATAGCTGAAGCGAACAGAACTAAATAATATTTAAATATAGACTTTTTACGGGACTGGTCGAAAACGGCCATAAATGAAATATTTGAAAGTTAGATTTCAGCCTGGGAAATGGTTAGGAGGAATAAGATAACTGTTGATATGTTCTTAGGAGGGTCCCATCTAAGGGTTAGGGGTATTAAAAAAGGTTAGGCAAAAACAAGGGCTGGGTTAGGGTTAGGGTAAAACCATAGATTTATGGCCGTTTTCTACCACACCCACTTTTTACCAAAGATTGTAAGATAGGCTTAAATAGTAAGTTGGAACTGATCCTAAAGTTAACAATAGTCAAGTAATTCAAAATTTTTATTTTCTTTTTAATCAAATATTTAACATTTAAAAAACCAAAATACAAAAAATGTTCCCATTCTTTTGACAATGAAAACAGATTTTTTTCTATTCGGTCTATTGTCAAAATAACGGCCAATGTTTTGATGTTTCTACTTGACCCTATTGTATGAATAATAAGCAATATGTTGTCCTGTTTAATCAACTAACTTACTGTTTATAAAAAAAACCCACCAAATATCCATCTTATCTCTACAACGTTTCGAAATTGATGTTTCACATTGATAATATGTGAAATTGAAATTTGGTTTTTAAAAAATCTTGCAAAAGATAAAATAACATCAATGAGCAGTTTTTCAAATAATTATTTTGCAGTAAATGCAGTCGATGGGATGATAGTGGACAGTTTGTTGGGAAACTGGTGTGTACCTAAATTATTATGTCTGTCCAATAAGTAAATGTAGTCAATGGGTACATCGCCTAAATTTGGCAGCGAGCCAAATTCCCTTTACGTTATTTTATAATTACTTTACGTTATATATATTTTTAAACCTAACCGTATTTCATTACCCTTTGTTATTTCGACACATTATTACTTATTATTACTGTTATATTTACTAGTATATACCTTAAATCTTTAACGCGTATATCGGTAAAGTCGGTGGAAATAGCTTTAACCTACACTCGCTATTCATTCATCGACTACAGTAATAATAATTAATTGATTGTGAGATATCAAAATGCCGAGGAAAAGAAAAATCAAAACGGTCACTAAAGGCGCCAATTCTCCAAACCGACCGGAAACCTTCAACCAACAGACCAACATGGTCAATTCAGTGACATTCGAACAGAGATTGAATGATCAAAGAAGAATGTTTGAAGAAAAATTGGAAGAATCGAACACACAGAATAGAGCTGCGATGGAAGCAAGAATGGACCAACTCGTCCAACTGGTCAACTCTATCAAGTACAATTTATCCAATAAAATTCCGTCGAATTCTGGAGATGCTCTAGGAATGGAACATTTTCCAACGGCTGAAGAACAAAATGGCGGGAGTCCGCAGGTTCGAAATATATCGAACCCAACTCGGGAAGCCAAAAGTTCTTCAAAACAAGTTGATCCTAGAATTGAAAACTTAAAGCATAAAAAGGTCACACCATCAGAAGTACTCTGCAGTTCCAATTACCAAGATTTCCTCATGAACGTCATTGTTCCTTTACTAGAAGCCGATATTTCCGAATCAGAAAAATGACAGATATTAAAGAGATGGACGAAGGAAGGGTCAGTGTGTCATGAATGCAAGACCTAGCGAATCGTAAACCTGGTGGTGGGAGTCTTGCACAATGTATAGAAAAACTTGACTATGTATATGCGGACACTTCATCTCAAGGATGCAACTTAGTGCAGCAGATCTTGAACAAAAAAGAACCGTTTCAAAATCAGATGTTGTCTCATTGGGTTGAATTCAGGACCTTTCTTACACTGCTCGATATGCCAAATTTCAAAGGAAAATCAAGAAAGAATGACTGTATATGAAGCAACAGTTCAAATTCCAGCATCTGGTAAATCAATCAACCACAAAATTACCATTCTCCTCAATACGGGAGCGGCAGTATCCTTGATCAGCAGACAATATCTATAAAGCATATCCTACATCCCGATAGCTGAAAACTGTTGCCGAATTGACATATCTTACGTCAATAATGAATTTCAGACAATAGCGTCAGAAAAGGTCAAGGTCATATTCCCTAAATTGGGGAGCAAATACAATGTCGATGCCTACGTAGTGGATACTTTGTCTACTATAGCTGATCAACCAGCAGTAAAAATCAACTCAAGCTACACAGAACAAACACTTCCAAGCGGCAGAATCGATTTGTTAATAGGCCACAATTCAAAACAAGATAGACCTATGTTTAGATAGACCAGATTATGTTCAACCATCAAAAACTTACTGGACGTTCCCTCTTCCTTTTAAATTCAATCCAGACATACTAACTAATAATCACTCCTACCCTAGGAATAGATTTAACGCTATTTGTTGGAAACCTATATATAATGATGAGTACAAGAAAGGAATTCAATCCCTATTCAACAATGATTACGCCCAACAGGTACCACATAAGGAAGTTAAATTTTATCTTCCTCATCACGGTGTATCAAATCCAAAAAAGGAAACTACACGAATCATCTTTGATGGGGCAGCGAAATATAAAGGTTATTCCCTGAATGATGCTCTCCTTACAGGACCTTCATTACTGGCAAACCAGGCACACATTCAAACTTTGTGGCGGACACAACCTTACTTCATATTAGTGGACATAAAACAAATGTTCATGAACATAAGAGTAGACACAAAACATCAACCTACTTCGGATTTCTTTATGAAGATCCAAGAAACAGAGACAAATTACTAGCTGCAGTAATGACACACCACATATTCGGTGCACCCAGCTCTCCATTCGTCGCTTGTATGGCACTAAATGCTACTATCAAACAAGCGACATCCCTCAATGATAGAGAAAAGAGAGTTATCTTGAAATCCTTTTATATGGACGACCTGATCCTGGTGGGAGATAACGAGAAAGAACTAGAAAACTTGGCTTTTCGCCTTCACAAAGAACTGGCAGCTAAAGGACTACCCCTGACTAAATATAATACGAATAATGAATGGATCAGCATTCATTCAACCTTGAACATTAAATTCATTCAAGAACCTATCAAAGTCTTAGGACTGACATATATCCCAATTCGAGATGAGATCGAAGTTATCATACCAAATAGAGATTCTGATCAACCCATAACTAAATGAGCCTTTTACTCTTTCATTGCAAAGATCTATGACATCATGGGTTTCATCCAACCAATGAAACTTCAGGCCAAAATCCTGATTACACTTTTTCATGGCGTTAACTGGGATGATACATGTAAAGAACAAGATATTATCACCAAGGTCCTCAAGAACATATCAGGCTCGTATTCGGTTTCGAGATATATACCACCCCCAGAAAATATCCAGATTTATGCGGATGCCACTGACATTGCTTATGGCGCGGCTGTATACGGAATCCGTAAAGAAAAGGGCTACCTTTTAGCTTCGTCCTCCCATCTCTTCTCCTCGCCGAGGTCCTCAATTCCACAAGCAGAATTGATGGCAGCTATAAGAGCCGCCAACTTTATTAAACCATACCACTCTATTTTCCTGGACGTACCCATCAAAATTTTCATTGATAGTAAGGTGGTTATCAGTTACCTAGAAAATGACGATCTAAAGCTGACTAAACATATAGGTCATGCAGTAAAATCTATCCTGAACACTAAAGCGATAGCGAGCTGGTTTCTAACTAGCTCTGATGACAACCCAGCAGATTTCCTAACGAAATCAAGAAAAAGGATGAAGGAAAAGTGGGACGATTTCAAAGAAATAAAAGTCAATTGTGACATACCAAAGGCCTCAATTAATATGTGCATCACAGAATCCACATTCGAAATATTGGGAGACTGGCGAAAAATGAGACAAACTTTGGCTTGGATACTAAGATTTAAGTTCAACATTCAATCTCGTCCATGTGACAGAATAAAGGACCATGAGTTAAATACAAGAGAAATCGAAACAGCAGAGTTACAATTATACAAACTTGTTCAAAGTACAATGCCTATCCATAAACTAATAGACTCATATTCATTGTTGGAGGACGAAAATGGGATATATGTGATGATGGGAAGGTTAGATGAGAGGGAGGAAAGAAAGAAGATCATTATCGATGCTCGTCACCCTATCGTCCTTAAATTGATATATTTCGTTCACCACGAAAATAAACATGCCTTTGGGCAAACCTAGCCAAGAAACTACACCTTCTTTATGCAACAACAGGAATCTCTAGCATTCTAAAGAGGTGTAAATTATGTGTTGCTAGAAACCATAAAAAACTGATTCTACAGATGGCAAGCCTACCAGAATCCCAAACAGGAGAGTTTATTAGTCTGTTCCAAGACATTGCCATGGACTTTACTGGACCTTTATGCAGGACCACTGGAAAGAATAAAGTCTATCTGCTCATCATCTCATGCTTGAGATCCAGGGCAGTCCAAATTATACCCACCACTTCCCTGGCTACTGAGGTATTAATGACGGAGTTCCAAATATTTATGAACAATTGGAGTTGGCCAAAGTCAATAATTTCAGACTCGGCACCAACCTTTAAAAGGCTGTATAAATTGATCAACGATCATTCAAGTGTAAGGCACATCCAGTGGAAATTCAATTCCCCTTACGCTTCCCATAAAATGGGAGTGATTGAAAGAATCATAGGTTTAATTAAACCTATGGGTCTGTTCTATACATGGATCAGAGATCGACATACAAATATAAACTGGGAGAAATAACTCGGAAATTGACTAACCCTACATATGAGATTTACACCAGTCACAGTAACATAGAAAGAGACGTGAGAGATATCATCCCTTACCTACTAAACGAGCCTTTTTCCCCCATTCTTCCCCAGGCCAGTGTAGTCGATGGGTACATCGCCTAAATTTGGCAGTGAGCCAAATTCCCTTTACATTATTTTATAATTACTTTACGTTATATATATTTTTAAACCTAACCGTATTTCAGTACCCTTTGTTATTTCGACACATTATTACTTATTATTACTGTTATATTTACTAGTATATACCTTAAATCTTTAATGTGCATATGGGTAAAGTCGGTGGAAATAGCTTTAACCTACACTCGCTATTCATTCATCGACTACAAGTAAATATATAGATTAAGTGTTAAGACTATCGATACTACTCATAATTTATGATAGTTTTATGCCAAAACTTAATTTATTATCAACAATAAAACTTATTATTCAACTTTTAAGAAGTTTGAATTATAGTAACAAATGCTTTTTCGCTAATACAACCATAGTTCTCCCAATGGAATTTATCAGTCTCCTTTAAATTTAGTAGAAGAGTTCTTGTAAATAGAAAATTTTTATCTAAACTACTATGTTTCATTGATAATGCAATTCTTTCGCCGTTCAAAAACATTCTTAACTCCAATTTTGAATTGTAGTACTTTTGAAAAGTAAACTCTATATAGTAAATTCCGGCTCTTTTTACAACGTATTCATTTCTTGTTGCATTCCAAGATGAAGTTGAATCCATGTCGATATTTTTTAAATTAATACGCCTAAATTCATCGCAAGTATTATCCGTATCTTTAGCTTGAAAGTAGACTAATGACTTATTCAATTTGAAAGCACTCATATAAGTTTCAGTATTAATTCCGGCTAGTGGTCCAGCTGATGAAGCAATAGGCAATACTACATGGGCAGTTAAGACATCACCCTCAAGTAGATTAACTAGATTTGATCTAGAGAATTGTTCAGTTCCCAAATTATTTTGAATTGATGCGGAAAGACTCAAAAAAGTGGCAAATAAAGCATTATTGCGAAATATTTGAACATTTAATATACGCATTCTATGTTGATCTCCATGACTGAAACCAGACAGCATTCCAGCATTCAGAAAATATAGACCAGTCGAGTCAACTCTAAATTGTGATAAGATGCTATTCTCTCTAAATCCTTTCATTGCCGTAATTCTAGGCCACTTTACGTATCCGCCAGGAAGACGTCTATTACTTCCGCAAAATAGATAACTATCCGATTCATAATGAAAGCCTAACCAAGAAGTTTCCCTTCCCTCGCTTGTACTGTAAAGGCTCGTTGGGGCTATCAATCTCATTTGAGGTTTAAAGACAGGAGTTAGAAGAGCTAGACCCGACCTTGACATAGTTTCCGGACCTTCTGCGTTTTCATAAGCTGCTCTGGTTATTCCAAGATTTATTCCAGTCTTTTCCATTGCCATATTTATTAGATTTCCATTGGTTGTGGTTGATACCATTGAAAAATAGTACAAACCAGAAGTTTTAATTGTTACCTCATTATTTTCAGCATTAAACATACCACCAGAATTTAGATTCACCGATGTCCAGTTCATAATTCCAGCATTTCCGTTGGTTCTTTCCGTTAGAGAGACCATAAAGGCTGAACCATTTTGCGAACAGGGTCCATTTGTACATTGTTCAATTTCGGATGACTGACCTCGACAATTGTTGCCTCCATTCGATGGAGGAGGATTATTGCACAGTCTGGTTCTTGTTCTCGATCCATCTCCGCATATTGGTTGACATGCGCTCCATTCGGACCATTCACTCCAACTTCCATGTATAGGTTGAGATCCATCCGAAGATTTTCTACAAATTTCACCTAAACATTTGTCAAAGTTAAAAGTTGGGTTAAATTTTGTCTGAGGAGGACATTGTTGAGGCCAAGCTACCCCATTTACGCAATTATAATAAAGAGAAGGATTCTCTGAACTTGCAACAGTACTATTCAAATTTGGTAAACATTCGTTGGCTCTTATCTGAAGTCTCTTGCCTTGAACAATAGATTTTAAAAGGGAAGAATCCCCCTTTCCAGTTGAACTTTCTGCATTTTTATTTTTTGGATTTTCTTTTAAACAATCCGATTGGCTGGGTTGAACGCAGGCAAAGAAATGGCAAGGTGTAGCGGAAAGTTGAAAATGAAGTCCAGGTGGACATTGTTGAGGATAGGCAATACCATTAACGCAACGATAATAAATTCCACAAAGATTTGGATCTCTATAAGCTCCATTAATTGGTGTTTGATCCGAATCGATTGGACAAACAAAACTCGCATTGTTACATTTAAAAATGTAAATAGCTGCTGATAAAAATATTTCAATATAGATTTCAAGAGAGAAAACAATAATCTACCTAAAGTAAACAAGACTAGATAATTCATTTTCATTTGTTGTCAATTCGGTTAGAGTGTCTTGTAATTTCTGTTCTTCACAATGTTCCATCTCCTGTTGTATATATAGTGTTTCAAAACTGTTGATTTGTCAGATTTTGAGCAGATGGTGTGATTAAGTGTGTAACTATGTACGTGTGTTTTTTATTTCAATTAAAAGGATTAGTCTAAGATAAGAGATATTTATGATAAAAATAGGATATTTTCTACAAATCGGTTATCTGTAATAAAGACAAAAAAAGAAATTAATTTAAATTCTATTTTAGGCTATTTCTTTATTTTTTTTATTATGAAGAAAAACTAATCAAAAGGCATAGCAAGATTTTTAAGTTTTAAATCATCATCATCTTTTTTGCTTTAATCAGCAGAATAAAAAAAATAACATTTGGTATTATGACAACTTTAATAAATGGATACCAAAAGAAGGTGACTTTATCCTCAGATAAGATAGAAGATATTTCAACTAAGAGAATATAAGTTAAACATTTAAAAAGTGAGCAAATGGTGTTATTTAATTTTCAAAAAACTATTGGTTTTTATTGATATAGTATTTTAAATTTTTGAAAAATTCAATGCAAATTGTCATTATTTTTCCATTTGACTTTCAATGAAATATTTTTGTTTATCTATTAAATAAAAAGTCAATGAACTTGTTGAAGGAATAATGCTAATGGAAAAGATTAGGCATAGACAAGGCTTTCTGTCGCATCCAGATCAATCCTTTAATTTCAATAATTTAATTTATACTTTAACCGAAGAATAATGTGTTTGACACATGGCTAAAATTAAATACGTAAACTTTTTTTAAAGTGTTCAATACAGTCAATTTTAGTTTTTGAAACTTAATGATATTTTAGTATATTTATTAAAACTTAAACAAACAAGCAAACAACTTAAAAACTGTTTGAATGATTTAAATTAATAATTGTACTAATTAAGTTTCTTAGCTAATTAATTAATTTTTTTATCTTCATTCCAAAATTGCACCAAATAGGCGATTCTAATACATTAAAGTTTGAAATTCACCATATCTCTCCTTTCCAATACTATGGCAACTACTGCAAATATCATGTAAAAGACTCTGGAAATGAATGTCTCTGAAGACTAGTTAGTTGAAATAAGTTTATATCCCTTTCAATAGGACAAATAATCTTCACCAAAGACAATTGATTATCCTCTAATAATTTCCTATAATATTAAAAAATGATTCATAAATGTAATAATCTGCCGAAAAACTTGAAATGACATTTCAATCTCATTTTCAATGTGATATATCATTATCGTTAAAAAATTTAATGAAAAAACTATGTATAAAAAGTAAATGACAAAATAATCTGAAAACTGCAAATTTTGACTTGCAGAATTATTACAAACTAAGTCTATGTTCCCTAAACTAACGAATTTTGAGAATAATTTAAGAGGCAATCTCTATACCACAATGTTTATTTTCTTCTCTGTCAAAACTTATGACATCTCCTATGCCTATATAGGAGTAAACCATATTTATTAACAAATTAATCACTACATTTTTCATGATAGACTGGTGGTTCTGGACCTAATGATCTTTCAAATATTGGTGGATCTAATATCTCAAATGAAAGTGCCACTAATTTGTTCATTCTTCCATGTTGTTCATCTTCAAAATGAAAAATCATATTCGGTATTATTGCACTAGGCCCAGGTTTGGAAATTCCAATATACGTATCGTTTTCTGTCGGTAACAGGTTAAACCGTCCCATATTTCCATAATCTAGAGACAGCCGAAAGATGGCAGCACCAGTGCTTTTAACACTAATGGATCCATAGGCCCAATTATCATATTTACCAGTATATTTTGTAATATTGTTGTTATTGAATCTTTGTATTTTTATAAGTTCAGAATATTTTGGAATATTTTGTATGTTTGGAAATGTTGTATCAGAATTGTGATTCTCATATAAGGCAGAATTACAAGCCTCGTCTAAGGAGATTGATGGATCTCTTCCCATGAGTATATCATGGATAGAATTTTCCAAAATTGCTCTTTCAAGTGATTGTTGGCCATGATTTGTTGAAAAGGAAAAACCAGATTTTATAGATCTTATAAGGATATGAGTTGAATGGAAACCAGTTAAATCACCTCCATGTTGATGAAATTCAACACCAGATTGATATCCATTCCAAAAGCCCAGACCATAACTTGTTCTTTTACCTAATTCTGGTTTGTTACCTAATAGTTCTGGTATAAAATCATTAAATGATATCTCATTAGCGAATACGCGCTCAATGGCTTCTTCTGTTAGAATCCTTTTACCATTCAAGGCAACACCTCTGTTTAGAATCATTGCTAACCATTTACCCATATCATATGCCGTTGAAACAATGGAACCTGATGGTCCAGCTCTGCCAACATTTCTGAAAAATGATTATTAAAAACAAGTGGTTTAAAGAATTTAAATGCTTTTGATAGGAAAAACAAGAACAATCAGAACAAAAGGCACACACCTCCAAACATCAGCTGGATATTCGACAAGGTTGACATGTGTTCCATTAGAGGAGGGAACATATGGTGATACAAAACCATTATAATTGTCTTGTTTATCATAGAAACCTGAATTTTCCATTCCAATTGGTTTAAAAAAATTATCTTCAATGAGATTTTCCCAATCTTTGCCATTATCAGCAATCACTTCAGCAATTTTACCACTTAATACATAAAACAAATTATGATATTGATGTTCAATTCTTGGTGATAAATTTGGTCTTAAAAATCTGATCTTATTCACAACATTTTCTCTATTCTGTCCTCCTAAAATCAAAATAAAATCATGTCTGGGTGTGCCAGTTTTATGAGCAAGAAAATCCCTGAGTGTTAAATCATGATATCTATATCCAGACCAGGCTGTATATCCTGACCATAAATCTTTGACCTTTGTATCAATGCTTATTCTGAAAGAAAAGTGGTTTCTTAATAGCTTTAACTTGAAAAATTTTTTCCTTACTGTTTCTCTGTTAGTAATTTCATTACCAGTAATGCTGTAAAGCTCTTAGTGATTGAGGCAATAGGAAATTTATTATTTGTTGTGACAGATTCATTCCTCCTGACATTAGCCAAACCATAACCTTTAGTTAATATAACACTTCCATTTTTAACAACTGCTAAATTAGCTCCTATAAATTTTCTACATTGTAAAAGACCACCAACATATTCATCTATTTTGTTGGCAATTTGTTCATTAGTTAAAATTCTTGAATTACTTGAACAAAAAACAAGAGAAAAGGAAAGAAAAAGCACAATATGTTTTAATTCCATAGTCTCAAATCGTATGATGAGCAATAAAATTATACTATCATCATTTATCAATTTTCTTAATCAGCTAAAGAGATTATGAATGACTCATTTTCTAATTTTTTTTTGGATTTCAAAACATCAAAGATAATGATAAGAGAGATTGACAAAGGATTAATTATACAAAATATATATAGTTATATTTAAGTAATAGTACAGAGATAGAGAGAAGGTAAGAGGGAGAGGATAGATGAAGATGGAAAGAGAAGCAGATAGTGACTGAGGAAAAAGCAGATGCAGAGACACTGAGACAGAGAAGAAGAAGATAGAGCAAAAGAGAGAAAGGGATATAGTTTAGGTAAAGCCATGCATTTGTGCGCATTTTCTTGTCACATTAAATTTCTTATGTGTCCAAACAGAAATTCGGTGTTTATTAAATTTACTTTGAATACTCTACAGCTATGCTTTTAGGGTTGATTCAGTAATAAATATTTCAAGATTTTCATTAAATTTAAAATTATTTCTGTCGGTTCAGTAGAATTTGAGTAGTTTTCAAACTGACAATAATAACGTTACAAAAAGGATAAAAACGCTTGTAATAAATATTTTTAATAATTCAATATTAAATTCTTAACTCTGTTAATTCAATAACATTTTTAATAAACCTTATACAATTCAATTCAAATTGGTGTGTGAAAGATTTAAAATCTTAATTTTAAAATATAGCTCTGTATTCATTATGTTTGAATTAGTTTATGAATATTCATAACTGATTTTTACCAATTGAATAAACAGCTAATTGTTAGTGTCCTGCATGCATTTATTCCATCAGAAAGGTGTTAAGTATTATTAATAGAGATTAATCAAAAATTGCAGGAGATTGCAGGAGTTGACTTGACAATAACTTGGAAAAGACCTACATAAGAATGTGCACATTTACAACTATATTTTAATAAACAATAGATAACAACAGTAAGATCCCTCTCTCTCTCAGACATGTGAAAGGCGTAGACTATTTCATTGTGAGTCTTTTGCTTTAGTGGAAAATGTTGAAAAGTTTGATGTTGTTTCTTCGGAATTTTTACCAGAGAAGAGTAAACCAAGCTCTTTTCGAAACTTTTCACCAGTAGAGCAATAAATATAAAAATTAATTGCACTATTACTAACTGCTATAGTATTGAAAATTCCACTAATTACTAGTAATTTGTTTGTTTCTTTAAGAGAAGCTTCCTGCCATACTCCAGAGTATTGTAAATACCATGTTAATAAACCAACCGGCAGAGTTACAATCATGAGATATGTTGAAACTAAGAGAAGCATGATTGTCATCTGAGTTGATTTTTTATCAGTTTTTGATGTATTATTCTGAGTCATTGTTGCTCTTTCTTTTCTTGCTTTAATCAATGCATTTATGATTAAAAGATTGAAAATAGTGATAATTGTTGAAGGTAGAAGAGTATAAAATAGCGTATCTAGCACACCAACAATTTTATATAAAAAGTACTCAAAGTTGGCATTACCACCCTGACAATATACAGATGAAGACCATTTATCATTAGGATCACGCATTACTATTACATTGCCAAAAGCATAGAAAAAGAAATGATAAAATACTGTAAAAAATAATATTATGCAGAAACAAACAATTTTTGCTCGGAACTTGGTTGATATAGTTTTAGATTTTGTTGGAAATAGTACATGAATACTCCTGTCTATAGTCATCGCTGCTACTAACGAACTGGATATATGCCCACTCCAAAATGTGAAAAAAATTGAGAATGAACAAAAGAAATATTTCAAAACTGGTTGACTTACAGTAATAAAGCCGTGAAGCGATTTTAAATTGAACAATATATTTGAAAATAAAGTTAGAGTGTCAAAAACTGATAGGTATCTTACAAATAAAGATAATGTTGTTCTATTCATTGTTTCTCTGCTGAAAACCAAAAAGCTAAGAACATTTCCAACTGTTCCAAAAATCAAGAAAATTGACTGCAAACCATATACTACGATAGTTAGTGCCTTGGCTTCAGGGAATAAGGAATCAGTCTCCAACGAAGAGTTTGTAAGATTGTCCATGGTTTTTCTCTTTTTGTTTTGCGTTGAACCTTATATGAATATATATATATATATATGAATATGATATATATTATCACACGGACAATTTTCAAAGAGACTTTTATGAAAAGAAATCAATTTCATTTGAAAAAGATTAAAAACTATTTTTCAATTCAAGTTAGAAAAAGATAACAAAAACAGAGACCACTCCCAATTATAATTTCTCCTTTATCTTCAATTGAAGTTAGTGTAAAAAGAACATTTTTGTGGATTGATTTAATTAAACACTTCGATTTGTGTACTTTGTTTTATAATCATTTAAACAATCTGACAGAGCTACTTTCATACAGTTTAGAGGTCAAACTAATTGTGCACTCATATATGTTAACAAGGGTTTAAACTATATATAAAATGTGTTTATCAGCAAACTACTCAACTCTTCAATAGTTGTTCTAATTATACTCCGTACACATTCTCTTGGTCAGGTTCTAGCGTCTCTTTAATACATTTTTGATTTACACAGAATTTTTGTGTCGAATAATACTAAAAGACGGCAAATGTAACTAACTTATATTTAGGAGTAATAGAAATCTTTGTCAATTCAATAATTGAAATTAGAGTGCGCGTGCGAATTTCTAGTTATAATGTTTAACGCAATTCTAATTAATGACAACTGAAAGAAATTATATAATAGAACAGATCGGTTTAGACTGAGGATCAGCATATCAAAGCATAATAAAAAGATATTCACTCTATGATACAATTGTGATACATAGAACTGTGGAATTTTAGAAAAACTTTAGTTTTATTGAACGACAGATGACACCACTGTGAATTTTTGCAAAAATAAACATGTTCTAGCTAAATTCCTATAAAATGCAATATCCTTAATCTTTTTGAAAATATGAATAAGCCTTTGGAAAGCATTGAGCAGAGTAAGTATTAAAACACCCTTTGAATGGGAAGGTTTAGAAAATAGAGATAAGAGATAGCTAAGCTTATGAAAAATAAATTTTAAATTTCAAAA